CAATTGAATGAGAACAATTTTCCGAGTAGAAACAATTTCCACTGCAAGAAGGATGAAAATTTCAGTGGCTGTTGATAGCAACATTCAATGGATATAAATGTTTTTTTGTGAAACTGACGAACATTTGTATTCATGATCGCCTTTAATCCAATGAGTTTGAAAGCAGTTGAATGTTGCTACATCCCCTTCTAAATAACCAGAAGCCATCGAAGGCGTTTTTAACATATACGCTGGGTATTCGATCATTATTGCACCACAGCTATTATCTGTAATTAATCATTCATTAGATATCGAATCATTAATTGATGTTATTGTTAGAGCCATTTATTAACGTTAACATTATCGTTCATATTTTCAGGTTCGTTCTCGAATAGCTGAAACTGTCAGTCATGTTGATGTCTAGAAAAATGATCCGAATTGAACGATTCCACGAATGCATGAAGAGCTTATCTAAGAAGAAGGCATCATAAAGTCAACGAACTAACAATGTCTGCTACCAGCACTTCTGCCAGTAACGAATGAGTTCCATTCATTCAATGCCTCCATTCCCAGTGCTTTCGAATTAAGCATTGTATAGTCATACAGACACGGTACACTATCACCACAATCACTGAGTATCTCACTTGGATTATTTGGACACTCATTGCTACCGAACTGTTGAATTAACTGTCGTTGAATTGATATCGAGTTCACTGCAACCTTTGTCCATTTTACACGTGGCAAAAATATTTTTAGATTTTACTATACTGTTTGACAGTGATCATTGAAACTAGAAGTACTGATCATTTTAATAACACTAAGTAAAACATGACAAAATGAAGATAATCGAAAAAAACAACAAAAAATTATAAAAAAACGAAATGATGAAAATAGTGATAATAATTGTTGTTAGAACGTCATGATAATAATATAATTGCTACCACTATCAGTATCAATAGAAATTACTCATTCAGTGGTATACAGTGCTATAGATCTCATTTTCACGGAAAACTGCGCGTTTTTTTCAGGATCGATTAAGTCTCTTTTATTTCACTAAA